GAGAATAGCAGTCATGACAGCAAATAAAAATGACAAAATGGAATGACTGAAACACTGCAGAAATTAGTAACAAAGCAAGCAATCCTGTGAAATTGGCTGACAAATGGTTAACAACATGAAATGAGTCTACTGAGAGAGCAGTCAAGTGAAAAATCAGGGCTTGAGAACTATCCCACCTATTTCATCAACTACAAGACCCAGACATCCTTTACAACAAACCAGATGTAGGATCAGTCCTTGGATTGCTACTAAGCAAGATTTGCTTCTAAGTTCAGTTCTGCCTTACCTGTTTGTGAAAAAAACAGGAACTTTTCCAGATACTGGTGAAAAAAATAATTCAGAGACGGCCAAAACTACTGGCCATGGACAGTTCCACTTTTAAAACTTGTTGTTCCAACACAGTACAGGTTATTTTTCCTAGAGGACTCAATTCTGCCTGGTTAAGCGTCCTCCACAACTCCCACATTTATAATGAGCATTTCCTACTACCAGAAGTGACGCCAGCTCACCCCAGAGGCCACAGGAACATTGTGCAAACACAGCCAGAAGAACACAAGCACTGTTTGAACTAGAAATTGTTTCTCCCTGTGGCAAAGCTACTGATCATTTTGCTACGCTGGGAGGGAGCAGTGGCAGTTGCTGTTCATTATTCTTTATTAATACTCGGAGCCAGAATGCTGTTTTTGCTGGGGGCTGTGTTTTCTCTCCCCAGCAGCCACAGGGTCTATCCTGTGTTAATCACGCTGACATTATTCAGGGGGTCTCAAAGGCTTGCACTTGATCACCATGTTGCTACGCAACTGCCGGCTTCACAGACAGAGCCAGCACTCCTCCCTTCACCTGATAAAAATCCTGCCTTTCTCTTCTCCCCGATTCTTTTATCAGCTCCTTGTAAAAGCCAGTAGCCTCTCGAGTGAATTTATAGCACCACTGTATTTCTAACACCACAGTCGATACTACGTGTCCCGTCCTCCTCACTGAGAGCAGAGCGTCACCTGCCAAGGCAGGTGCTCCCTCCCTGGGTCTTCCCAGCGCTGTACATGAGCATATCCAAATTTGGAAATAGGAATCACAACCAGAGCTCCTCACTGGGGCTTTAGTTCTGGGTGTTTGGGTCCAACAGAGCCCCATATTCAAGCAGCCCTCAAGGTTTTCTACAAGAACGGGTGAGGAAAACCGGAGGGAGCGACGGTCAGATATTGGGACCTGACTACCTAGAGAGACCAGATTAAAATCTCTACCTATGGTCATAATTTCTTAAATTTCTTAAAGTAAATGATGGCCAAAATTGGGAGTGGAATCTCTGTTCTCAAACCTTCTGACCAAACTATGCTTTTATTAGTACAAAGTAAGCAAGTGCATCCTCTCGCTTCTTCCTCTTTTTCCTTCTCCTACCAGACTCCTTTTCCCTATCCCGTGGCTAGCCACTGCCACTGAGAAGCAGATGGTTTCCAGCCAAAGGTTTTCAGGCTTTATTTAAAAACCTTGAAACTTGATGTCTCCACAACAACCATGGAAAACTATAAATACCCTGTGTAAAATTATTGTTAAACCCGTGTGCAGAGAATAAAAGCAAGTTTAGGGTGGTTTTAATGTAATAACTGAGAAATTATGTTCAGTATTGTAGGATGATCTCTTCCTAATCCTCATTTATCAAAAATATACAAAAAAAGATATTTTTATGGGTTTCTGTGGCAAGAACTATCTACAGTTTAATTCACCCCTGTACTACCCTAACAGGGCAGTTGCTGTGAATGAACCACAACTGTATACCTACTGCAAAAGGCTGTGCAAAAGGAATTTTTTTGGATATTTAGGATTCCACTCTGGGCTATAACTTCATGTATGGGCCAATAAGTAACTACATATTTTTAATTTCATCAGGCTGCTTGGGCTGTGAACATCATCCAAGCAAACCTGTGAACGTTGTTCCTATTCATAACACTTCCCAATCCCTCTCCTTGGCTGAGGGAAGGGAACAGACATACTCATTTTTTATCATTTTTCCTTTAGCAGAGCCAACGAGTTGTTCTTTAATTTAGCAGAATCCATGCTTTTCATGAGCTAAAATTCCTTTTCTCCCTTTCTAATGCAACCTCACAGGGAAGGGCTGCAAGCTCTGCAATTGGCTGTCAGTATTAGAAAAAAACCCCAAGAAACTCTAGGAATTTTACCTTTAAAATTTAAATATTAGCTTTCATACTTGAAATTTTCACAAGGTGGTATTCGTTGGTCATAATATTTGACAGCTTTGTAAAAAATTGTGGCAGTTGTGCAAGTGGGCTAGAAAGGCTGTAATTTATTTAACTTCTAAAAGATAAGACAGGAGTAAAAGCAGTAAAAAGAAAAGCATTTACCAAGCATCAACAGCTTATGCTGCTCCCTCTTTCAGACTTCTTATCAAGCTGAGAAATTAATCCTCTCTCATCCACCCCCAGCATGTGGGGCTGGTTTTGCACAGGCAGAGGGGAAGGTCCTGCCTGGCTCCAGGGGGTGGAATCTGAATCTACAGCTGATCTTCTACATTTCCATTTCTCTACCTCACCCTTGTCGAGATGAAAAGGAATTGCCTGCAGCACCTTTCCAAACATACTTTTAATATCTGTGGGTAGCTGGTTCTCCTCTGCTGGCTCCCACATATCACTTCACTTAAAAAAGAGATACTGAGTAAACTTTTCTGATCATTTTAGCATCTTCAGTTAACCTCGTAATCAAAAAATAACATAATCATATCACTTTTGAAAACAGAACAAAACAAAATACAGCTCTCTTTCCTCCTGTTCCCACCGGGAATTCTATTTTCTCCCACGGTCAAATGGCAGCCAAGAGTTTTGCTGCTCTATTCCACTGCCAATTTATCCTATTTATTCCCTTATAGCTCTTTTGGCATTGTTACATCCCAGGATCCTCTCTCTGATTTGCAAAGATGTCTGTTTGGTTTTACTTTTCAGGAAAGAAGTAGGATTTCAGCCACGTTGAAATAATGCTTTGGGTGGTTTTGTTTCCAAATTGAGCCTCTAAAGAATTTGCCAAATCTGAATTGGACAGCATTACAAATTTATATTGCTTTTCTGTCCTTGAGCTTTTTGATTTTTTTTAAGTCAGATCTTTCTCTAAAATGTAACATATGGGGCTACTCTTACTTATGTAATAGTTTGCTTTCCTCCAATGAAGTAGTATAGTTTTTAATTTTTTCCCAGCCTTTATAATTTTTAAACATCTTTTCTCAAAAAAATGTATATTTACTTCTACTTTTCATTTTCCTCTCAGTAATGACAATACTTTGATATTTTTACAGTACATTGTAGTTGGTAGCTTCAGTTATTTTCTAATAAAATAGGGATGGTAAAGATCTCCACTGTAATCTGGAAATTCCTATCAGCTTAAAATTAAAAGATGATAAATAATATTATACACATGAAGGTAAAGGCAACATGGTCATGGGACTTAACAAGAAACACAGAATCATAGAATCATAGAATCAGTCAGGTTGGAAAAGACCCCTGAGATCAAGTCCAACCCTTGATGCAACACTGCCATGGTTACTAGGCCACATGATCAATGTCTAGCAAAAATAGTATTTTTTTTCATGTATGAAGGTTTTTCCTGTACAGCCAACTCAGTTTCTGCTCCAATTAGTCAAGTGCCACCGAAAAGAATTCCAGAATTTCAGTGTTTTATTTCCATTCCTTCATTCTAAAAATTGTATTACCCCCCTGTCACCAGTTTGATGACCTCCATCTTGCAGGAACCAATATGAATACCTGAGGCTGGGGCTGTTGATCATACTGTTTTCTGAATGAGCAATCATTTGCAATCAACAGAGCCATCCTTTCCTTAAAAATCAAATTATCTTCATGTATGCAAAGTATAGCAGCTTTTCAAAGACTGATTTACTTATTAACCAGCAGAATAATTCTAATAAAATTTATTTTTTTTTTTTTTTTTGGTGTTTTCCCCATTGGACTTAATGTCCCTGTTCCACAAAATTACTTGTACATTCCCCCAGTGGTGTCTGGCTTCTGCAACTTATCACTTAAGTACCTTTCGGAAACCACTTATACATGAATGTATTGCAGTGCCCTGTCAGGGACACCTCCTTCAACCTGTGAACATCAGGGACTATTCACTAACCAGAAAAAGGCAGAACTTAAACCCCCTAATACTAAGTGGCAGAGATGCTAAATTAACTTTTTAGTAATAACATGAACACCTCACAATGATTTCAATGAGTAATTTTCTAAAATAGCTTTATGCTTTATGGTAAAGTGGATTATGAGAGGCCTCAGCATGAATCAAATGGCACCACACAGTGAATGTGAAGGAACCCTAAGCAAAACCATGTTTTACCTGTTTGAAGCCAAAATAGCTTATGGGACTAAAGGAAAAATAAATTATCACCACATTTTAAAAGAAAAAAAAATTAAAGAGAAAAATACTGCTTAAAAAGAAATCCAAGTGACTCACATCGAAATGACTGAAAGGTTTGTGCAAACTGTCTTTAAAGTTGGAGAAGACTGAGAAAGCTCCTGTCCTATGGTGTAGGCTACACAAATATTGACAATGTAAGAAATTCTTGTCTGACATAGACTATTCATTAAGCAAATACATAGAACAGAGTACACTCTTCTTTAATCTACATGATTTATAATAATAATGGCCAGTCTTCGCGAGCGAAGATTTGGGAAAGGTCATTAACCCTTCAAGCCTGCGCAGTGGATTTTTTAGGTGAGACCCAGCGTGCGCTGAACTGAGCCCACCCTTTAATCCTGAGGTTCATCTGCCGGGGCCGAGCAAGCTTGGACAGTGGCAGTGAGGGTCTCAGAACGTAGGTTTGTTTAGAGTG